CGTCAAAATTTCAATTATCTTTAGAAATAATAAAATCCTCCCCAAAAATCCAATTATGTTAAAAAATTAAAAAAAAATTCTGGTCTAAATTTCAATTATCTTTAGAAACAATAAAATTCTTCTCCGAAATTCAATTATTTTCAAAAGTAATAAAATTCTACGACGAAATTCAATTATGTTCAAAACTTTTTTTAAATTCTCGTCAAAATTTCAATTATTTTTAGAAATAATAAAATCCTTTCTAAAAATTCAATTATGTTCACAAATTTTTTTTAATTCTCGTCAAAATTCCAATTATCTTTAGAAATAATAAAATTCTTTCCAAAAATTCAATTATGTTAAAATTTTTTTAAAAATTCTGGTCTAAATTTCAATTATCTTTAGAAATATTAAAATCCTTTTTTGAAATTCAATTATTTTCAAAAATTTTAATAAAATTATTGTGATAAAATTTCAATTGTTTTCAAAAAATTATCTCAATTCAAAGATTTTTAATATCTATTATTTTAATAAAATTTTCCAAAAGAATTAAAATATTTAAACAAAAATTTAATTTAATTCTACGCAAACAATTAATTATTTTCTTAAAATAATAAAAATTTCACAAGAATTCAATTATTTACGGATTTTTTATAAATTTCTTTGCAATAATTCAATTATTTTCATAAATAATAAAATTCATTTTAGGAATTCAAATTATTTTCATAAATAATTAAAATTAAATTCATTGCAGAATTTCAATTATTTTTAAACCAATTTTAATCAAATTCCTCGAAAAATGTAATTATTATTAAAAATTTAATTAAAATTCGTCAAAAGAATTTATTTATTTAAAAATTATTAAAAATTATTTACTTTTGTACTTAAATAATTGAATTCTGGTAGAATTTTCTAAAATTGGAATAAAAATTAATTTAAAAATGAATTTCAGTTAAAATTTGAGATAATAATTGAATATTTTAAAAGCAATATAGCATGAATTTTTAAAAATAATTGAATTTTGGAAAAGTTTAATTGAATTTTTTTTTATATTATTTGAAATTTTTATTTTCTAATATATATTTAATTGAAGAATTCACGAATAATTGAAAATTAGTAAAATTGAATATTGTAAATAAATGGATTTGAAAATTGTCAACGAACTTTTTCGAAAATTATTGTAATGAATTTTTGAATTTTTGTTTATGAATCACAATTTTTTTAACAAAATTATTTATTTTGTTTTAGAAAAAGAAGAAAAATATTTGCACAATTCATATTTTTAATCTTATTTTTGGAACAGGATTTTTCACAGGAATTAAGACATTCAAAAATTTCAAATTCAAACTTTTTTTAAATTAAACAACTTATAAAAGTGGTGTTATAAAACATGAAGATATCGATTGCTCCGAGTCGAAGACTCGGAGTGATTGATTTCTTCCATGTTTTCTAATAATTAAAGAAATGATCGAGAGATAAAATCATTATTTTATATTATAAGAATATTGTTACTCTAACTTCATCAAAATTATTTTCATCATTTTAATTCAATTATTATTTTCTAGAATTTAAATTATTTTTTATGAAAATAATAATTGAATTCCATAAAAAAAATTTTATTATTTATGAAAATAATAATTGAATTCCATAAAAAAAATTTTATTATTTATGAAAATAATTGAATTACTAATTAATTATAGTTTGAAATTATAATTAATAATTCCAGTTTAAAAAATTATAGAAAATTGAAGAAAAAAAAAATTGAAAATATATTTCCTCTGAAATAGATGATAGATAATTTGAACTATTAAAAGATAATAAAATGGAAGAAATGGATTTTATAATGAACCGAATTATTTTTGTATAAAGTTCATTAAAGAATGATTTATATATTTGAAAGAGTTATAATAGACATCTTAAGTGGATTATTAATTCCTTAGATCCTCTATAATAGGAGAAAGTATTCACATTTTACTCTTGTTAAAGATTGGCGTTAAGAATCATCTTAGAAATGTTGATTACTTTTTTTTATGACTCTTTCAAAACACTCCTATTATACAGAAGCTAACAAACGCAACGTAATGATTTCTGTTGATAAAAAAGGAAAAAAGTGCGTAATAATTACATCATAAAAAATGTATCGTGTATATTGACGAGAAATAATCATCCGAGAAATACTAATTTTTTACGGTTAAACTATTACTTTCAATGAGCATAAATTTAATTTGTTACTCAATTAATTAATTACTAATAATAATAATAATAATAATAATAATAATAATAATAATAATAATAATAATAATAATAATAATAATAATAATAATAATAATAATAATAATAATAATAAAACAGAAATACAACTCGGAAAATAATTTCTGCATATGAGAAAAATTCCGATATTAAAGAAAATCTAAAATAATGTAATTGAATGAATGTTTTCCTAACAACTGTATTTTTCTAATCCTTTGAAATGGTTTCTATTTCTACTTTCTGCTTTCGATTCTCGTTTACTTCCTTTTCCAATATTTTTTTTTACTTTTATTTTTTTTTATTACTTTTAGTAATTTTGCTTTTTCTTCTCAAAACTTATTTATTTTATTTTCCTCCTTTCTTTTAGAACTCTCATAAAATAACTCCAGCAACATAAAGTTTTCATCGCAAGAAATTGGACCCTTCAAAACAAATGCCAGGAAAAAAGGGGAACTAAACATTTCCGAGATAATTAACTTATCGAACTTTTTATCATTATTTAAAAAAAAAATTCATTTTTAAATTCTCTTTTTCGCCTCTTTAAAGAAAAGTAACAACTTCTCTTCCCTGTAAAAAAAAAATGTAATTTTTATTTATTTCGTGAATATATAATCAAAAGGGGAAGGTTAATTTTAATCAATATATCTTGATGTTGATATTTTAAAATTGTAAATAAATTGCGATTAATAGTTTCCTCTTTCTTTCTTTTTTTTTTCTTTGAAATCAGAGATAATCTTTACATATTTTATAAATTTATCGTAGTTTATATTTCAAGAAGTGGAAAAAAAATGCATTTATCATTTTTCACTATTCCCGTGGGTGAATTGAGTAATAGGTGTTGATTTATAATACCTACTGATTTCTTGTAAAGCCATCTTTTAGACGTCAACGAGATATAAACCGTAGGAAATGTTACTTTGTAAGTCAACACTCAACATCGCATTAATGCCTATCTCTATCTTAATCTAAATCATTCAGCAATTAGTGACAGGTTTCTACTAATCTTCTCCTATAATGCTTAGGCATTAACCGCCTCTTTTATTCGATTTTTTCTTCTTTTTGACTCTTGAATGAAGTAAAAAAAATTTTCACACTCGATTTTCCAATTCTTTAATAAAATTAATTAGCTAATTAGTTAATTAATTAGTTAATTAATTAAATTATAATTTATCATTATAACAAAATCCTTTTTTTTAAATTTTTTAATTTTGGTAGGTACAAAACATTAATTTACACATTAAAAAATGAATTATTTACTTAATTAATTACTTAAATTAAATTGTATTAAATTATTTTTCTATTTCTCATTAAAATACATTTAAAAATTATCAAAAGGTAAAAAATTTTCGTTCATCTAAACGTTTAAAATTTTAGAAATATTTTGTTTATTCGTTAATAAAATTATTTATAATTAATTAACAATAATTGCACAATTAATCATAAGATTATAATAACATAAACAAATTTATTTCATTAATATAAAGAGAATCCATTGAAAAAATTACGAAAGATTAACAAAAATTTTTTTAAGAAAATGAATTTATATACGAATATAAATGACTTTATATTAAAAATAAAAAAAATTATGAAGAAACAAAACAAAATAATAAAAAGAATATTGAAATGAACCATATGAAATTAATGAAATAAAAATTAAAAAAATATTAAAGTAACCAATAATCGTAACAGAATAAGAAATAATAATTTATTAAAATTTAAGAAAAATAAAAAAACAGTGAAATAAAAAATAGTTAATATGAAAATAAAAATAATAAATAGCTAAAAAAATAAATAAAAATAGTGAAACAAACAATTGGAACTACTAAAATAGAAAAAAAACTCTCTAAATTTGAATTAGTAAAAATGTTTACTAATTTAAATTAGTAACTGACTTTTTGCTTCTGAATTAGTAAATTTTACTAATAAATAGTAATTTCTACTAATTTTCTACAAATCTATTCTCAAAAATTTGAAACAGTAAAAATTATTAATAACTTGAATTAGTCATTGACCTTTTCCTTTTGAATTAGCAAATTTTACTAATAAATTGAAATTTCTATTACATTTCTATTTACAATTTACTAATAAATTTCTATTTACAATTTACTAATAAATATCTATTACAATTTTTCTAATAAATAGTGATTTCTACTAATTTATAAGTAAATTTTACTAATAAATAGTAATTTCTACTAATTTAATAGTAAAATTTACTAATTCAAAAGCAAAAAGTCAGTCACTAATTTAAATTAGTAAACATTTTTACTAAATTTTACAAAATTAATATTCTTTTAATAAATTGTAATTTCTACTAATTTAATAGTAAAATTTACTAATTCAAATTAGTAAACATTTTTACTAAATTTTACTAAATTAATATTCTTTTATTAAATTGTAATTTCTACTAATTTAATAGTAAAATTTACTAATTCAAATTAGTAAACACTTTTACTAAATTTTACTAAATTAATATTTTTTTAATAAATTGTAATTTCTACTAATTTAATAGTAAAATTTACTAATTCAAAAGCAAAAAGTCAGTCACCAATCGGAATTAGTAAACATTTTTACTAATTCAAATTTAGAGAGTAATAAATACCCAAATAAAAAAATAGTAAATAAAAAAAATAAAAAATTAAAAAATAGAAAAACAGTAAATAACAAAATAAATGAATAAAAAATAGTGAAATAAAAATAGTAAATAAAAAAACAAAAAAAATGAATAAAAAATATAAAATACTGGAACTAATGATATTTTGCTATTTTCATAGATGACAGTTCTCTGTTTGGCAGTGGCCACTGTCGTCTGCGATTTACCGCCAGGCACAAGAAGAAACACGTATCTACCGCCGGAGCCAACGAAAGGTGGTTATGACTATAATAAACCGCCGGGAACATTTCCAAGGCCAACGACGGGATTCCCCTCGTCGAGGCCAACATTTCCAGTAGGGCCCACGAGACCAACTCCCACTTTTCCCACAGGCCCAACGAGGCCCACGACACCTGGTAGGCCAACGTATCCCGGTACAGGAACAAGGCCCACTCCCGGCTTTCCTACACCTGGAACACGACCCACACCCGGTGGTAATGGTTACCCCACTCCTGGACCAAGACCCACACCAGGATTCCCCGATTATCCCGGTTCACCGTCCGGAAATAACGGCAACAATATTGACGTAAGTTTCGATATTTCTTAAATGTCTTTTTTTATTTATCGAGAGAATGCAAATTTCTTTTTTAATTCAATTTTTGCACTTACTTTATAATTATTACTTAATTTTCAATAATTTAGTTTCGATTTCAGTAAATTCAATCTAATGGAATTTTTATTTATGTGAATTATTTTTTTATTTTTTTATTATGAATTGTTTTTTGTTCCATTTACCTAAATTATTTTTATTTCCACTGAGTTCTTTTGTTCTATTTACATGAATTATTGCTTTTATTTCATCTATCTAAATTTCTTTTATTCTAATTATCTGAATTATTTTTTTATTTTTATTTATCCTATTTTTTTCTATTTAGTTGAGTTTTTATTATCTCACTTTTCTTTTATTCTGTTTAGTGAATACATTTTATATTAATTATTTTATAACTTTGTTTATCTCAATTATTTTTTATTTTGTTTAACTGAGTTATATTTTTTTACTCAACTGAATGAAAAATAGTTTTTATTGTTTAAACCTGAATTTTTTATTATTTTATCACTTAACATTTTTTTTTATTTCCTTTACCAGACTTTTTTTTATGTATAAAACTCAATTGTTCTTTTTATTATCTTTACCTGAGTTTCTTTTATTCTATTTACCTGAAATTTTTTTTTATCTACTTGAATTATTGCTTCTACTCTCTAAATTTGAATTAGTAAAAATATTTACTAATTTCAATTAGAGACTTTTCTTTTACTTTTGAATTAGTAAATTTTACTAATAAAAAATAATTTTAACTAATTTATAAGTAAAATTCATTATCAAATAGTAATTTATACTAATTTATTAGTAAAATTTATTATTAAATAGTAATTTCTACTAATTTTCTACAAATCTATTCTCAAAAATTTGAAACAGTAAAAATTATTAATAACTTGAATAAGTTTACTTGAATTAGTATATTGAATAACTTGAATTAGTATATTTGACTAATAAATAAAAATTTCTGCTAATTTATTATTAAAATTTACTAAAATATAATAATTTCTACTAATTTATTGTTAAAATTTACTAACAAATAGTAATTTCTACTGATTTTTTACTTATCTATTCTCAAAAGTTTAAAATAGTAAAAATAATTAATAATTTGAATTAGTGACTGACCTTTTGCTATTGAATTAGTATATTTGACTAATAAATAAAAATTTCTGCTAATTTATTATTAAAATTTACTAAAATATAATAATTTCTACTAATTTATTGTTAAAATTTACTAACAAATAGTAATTTCTACTAATTTTTTACTTATCTATTCTTAAAAGTTTAAAATAGTAAAAATGATTAATAATTTGAATTAGTGACTGACCATTTGCTTTTGAATTAGTAAATTTTACTAATAAAAAGTACTTTCTATTTACAATTTAGTAATAAATTTCTATTAAAATTTTTCTAATAAACAGTAATTTCTACTCATTTATTAGTAAAATTACTAATAAATAGTAATTTCTACTAATTTTCTACTAAGCTATTAGCAAAATTTAAAATAGTAAAAATAATTAATATTTTGAATTAGTGACTGACTTTTTGCATTTGATTTAGTAAATTTTACTAATAAATTAGTAGAGATGACAATTTATTATTAGATTTTACAAATAAATTAGAATAAATTACTATTTATTAGTCAAATTTACTAATAGTAAAAATTACTATTTATTAATAAAATTTACTAATTCGAAAGCAAAAAGTAAATCACAAATTCAAGTTAGTAAACATTTTTACCATTTCAAATTTGGAGTTGTGTGTTTACTCTAATTTCTATTATTCTTTTCACGTAATTTTTTTTTTTTAACAAATAAGTTTTCTTAGTTCTCTTAAAGTAATTTAGTTTTCTTAATCCATTTACCTAAAGTATTGTTTTCATTGTATATTTACCTGAGATTCTTTTTTTACGTGAATTATATTTTTATTTTGTTTCTTTAAACTAAATTATTTTTAATTTTGTTTATCTACATTATTTTTTTATACTTATCATAATTTTTTTTTCTATTCACTAGAATTATTTATTTATTCACATGAATTCTGTTTTCTATAATATTTATTATTTATTCAAATTCTTTTTTTTAATTTCAGTTGTAAGGAAATTTAGATTAAGTTCAAGTAAACTTGAACTTCTATTGATTTAAATTTTCTTTTAACTGTTTGTAGGAATTTTTAGGAATTTTTAGTATATTCCAAAATTTTATGTGTAAAATATTTTCAAATTTCTATTTTTTGTCAGTAGTAAAATAAAGTTGTAGTCAGACGATAAAATTTTCATTGAGTAATTCCACTATCAGTAGTGTAAGTACGTTTTAGTCAGACAGTGATTTTAAATTTTTGTAATTTTTAAAATTGCAATAAAAAATTAATATATTATTGATAATAACATCTGTTGACAAATATTGTTCTTTAAAATATATTCTTCAGTACATGTACTTTGTCTCGTTTACGAGCGAGATTTTACGCCGTCTAGGCGGAAATTCAGACAACTACTTTGGCGCAAAATTCAAATTTAACGAAACAAATCAAACCAATTAAAAACCATTTAATTAATATTACTTCGATATTATTTGAACCCACGACTTAAAGTAATATTTTGTCGGATAAAATTTTAGATTTTTTAATAAAACTGCAGTAAAATTGTCTGGTGAAATAAAAGAATCAATAAACCAGAGTCTAACCATAAAAAAGGCCGACAAAGTAAACTTTTACTTTCTATTTTCCATTGTAAATGACAGTGTCAAAGTTCTGAAGCAGGTACTTGTAATAAAAAATGTAATTTTTCGAAAGTAAACACGTTTATAGTAAAAACGTGAAAAATCTTTTATCATTTGAGGGAGTATTTTCCCAAAGAAACATGTCATTTAGAAGATAAAAATCTCAAGAAATATAGCAGTCGCAAATGTACGACGACGATGATAACAAACAAAAAAAAAATGTCTATATATAAAAACCAGATATCACGAGTAGAAAAATTTGATATCGTCTACAAATGGACACACCTATTTATGCTCTTTAAGTATAGAGAACACTTTCTCGCTCATCTTGGTTTAGGGAAAGACGTAAACAGAGAGAGAGAATCTGCAATCTAACAACGTGAGTAAAGGGGCGCTCGCGCTCGCGTTGAAGTTTACTTGCCAGCGGCTCAAACTTTTTTACGAGCAACGATATCACTGTACACAAATGCGTTTCGCAAAAAAAGACCACTGAAGAGAAATGTTTCTTTCATATCTCGCGGCAGCATGCTTTTTCCAAGACGGGACCCTATTTCAAAAAACTGTTCTCACGTGTATGCTCGCGACTTACTTGCCTTCTTTTTTTTTTATTTTTTTCTTTTATCTCAAGACGGACGTACTTTTGACGTTTGAAACAAAAATTACGAACTTGGAATGCATACAACTATATACAGAGAGGGAGTGGGAGAGAAATAAAACTGAGAATGAATTCAAAATATGTATGTGTCCTCAACCAGGAAAGAAAAAGCTTTTTACCAGTTGACGAAGAGCCGTTCAAAAATGAGAAATTCCCTTATCGCCTCAAGCACTTTAAAAGAATATTTATCCAAGTTTTTAAAAAACTCTTTTCAAGAAAACTTCCCAGGAAATGATGCATTATAAATTCCACTACATGCTATATATGCAAAATGATAATTAAACTTGAATTTAACTTCTGAGAGGGAAAATTGGAAGAAAATAATTACACACATTTTTTTTTTTGGTTGAGATAACACTTTGAGGTGAATGAATAGAGCTAAATTTTGCTTTTTCCAATCTTTATTCTATCGAAACTCTTTTTATCTAAGAAGAACTGTTAAATTATTAACTAATAATTATTATTATTATTATTGCTATTATTATTTTTATTCTTAAGCATTATAATTATTAAACTATAATTCCTTTTTAGTTTATAGAAACAAAATTAATAATAAGAAAATTTTAGACTTAAAACTATAAATTAAATTTTTCATAACTATAAAACATGAAGAAATCAATAACTCCGAGTCTTCTACTCAAAGTGATCAATTTCTTCATGTTTTATAATTATAAAAGACGATCGAGAGATAAAATCATTTACAAAAACTTTAACTAAAATTCTTCTTTAAATCGATTATTTTTAATAATTTTCAAAAAAGTTCTTTGACAATTTTTAAATCCATTTCTTTACAATATTCTATTTTACGAAATTTCAATAATTCGCAAATTCTTCAATTAAATAAATATTAGAAAATAAAGACTTAAAATAATATTTAAAAAATTCAATTAAACTTTTCAAAAAAAAAAATCATTTCAAAACTCAATTATTTTAAAAAATTCACGCTATATTAATTTAATAATATTAATATTATTAATATTATTCAATATTCAATTATTTTCTAAAATTTTAACTAAAATTAATTTTTATTTTTTATTGTAAAATTCTATTAGAATTTAATTATTTAAATACAAAAATAAATAATTTTTTGAATAATTGAATGTTTCTTGAAATTCAATTCCCATAAAAAATCGTTATCAACAAATTTCCAAATAATTGAATTCTATCAACGAATTTTAATAAAGAATAATTACATTTTTCGAGAAATTCGATTAAAATTGTATTAAAAATAATTAAAATTCTGCGATGAGTTTTATTATTAGTTAAAATAATTGAATTATAGTTGTTTTTAATAATTTAATTCCTGTGAAATTTTCATTATTTTATTAAAATTCCTGAAGATAATTGAATTTTATTACTTATGAAAATAATTGCATTTTTGTAATGAATATTGTTATTTGTGAAAATAATTGACTTCCTCCGAATGATTATATTATTTATGAAAATAATTAAATCGCTGAAAAGAATTTTAAAATCTATGAAAATAATTGAATTGCTGCAAAGAATTTACTGACAAATTTTAAAATATTTCATTTTTTCGAAAACATTTATACAAAATTTAATTTTAAATCATTGAATTCCTGTAAAATTTTTATTATTTTTAGAAAATAATTAAA